GGAGAGAGACAGAGACAGAGATAGACAGACAGACAAATAGACGGAGCGAGAGAAAGGGGAGAAGAAGAAGAGAGAGAGAGAGAGAGTGACAGAGAGAGAGAGAGAGAGACAGACAGACAGACAGACAGAGAAAACCAACAGACAATCAGACAGACACGCTGATAGACAGGGCGAGAGGGTGTGAAAAAGAAAAAGAAAGAAAGAAAGAAAGAGACAGACAGACAGACAGACAGACAGACAGACAGAAAGACAGACAGACAGACTGACAGGTAGACAGAGGGAGAGAGGGGGGAGAGAGAAAAAGAGACAGGGAGAGAGAAAAAGACAGACAGAGAGGGAGAGAGATGACAGAGGGACACTGGAGACCGAGTAGATTTTCTGAAAATTGAACCGATTCCTTTAATTATGGGTTGTTTTTTTCCAGATATATAGAGACGAAGAAAAATGTATCTGCATCTATTTGTTTATTAGAATGTATGTTAACTTAAGCCAAAACCAAGTCTTACAATTTATGGCCGAGGGAGGCAGGGGAGTTGCCTAAAATATGCGATAGAATTCACAGGCCTCCTTTCTTTAAAGGCCTAGTAACCTAGTGAACTGACTACAGACGGTACTACACTTTCTCATGACATGACAGCATCCCTGAGCATCGACGTGGCAGTGATCACCACGCGTAAGTGTTTTCGTGCCCCGCGCCGGGCGATACGCGAAACAATGCACTGTTGTTATGGAGCGCCGCCACGAGTGTCGCCTCTCTATTACTGTAAACCCTCTCTGGTTTGCCCATTGCCCATCCATTCAGCCACTGGTCCCTGATGTTGCATTTGATGGTGTTCTTGATTGTCTGCTGTGATACTGGGTTTTGAGGTTGTATTTGTGATGCTCCCTTATTGGAAAGGGTGTCTGCCCAGACAATTCCTGGTATGTTGCTGGGGCAAGGTATCCACTCAAAAGTCAGGTCAATGGCATAGGTCTGCAGGAAGGTGTTGATTGTTAGAGCCACAGATAGGCAAGCTGGGCTTTTGAAATTCATATTTTCCAAAGCTTGCAGTACTGATTTTCTGTCTGTGAAGATCCCAGTGTCCTTGATTTTGTTATGTCATTAGTGAAAAAAATTCAAAGATGAAGCATCGCAAAAACACTTTGTTGCAATTATTGTTTCACATTTTCAGCCGACCTGCCCATCTCCACTGGTGGAAACATTGTTTAAGCAAGGTTATACCTATCATAACCAGGGCAGCAAACAGTCTCTTAAAAATAAATTAGCACACAGAAGTAAAACTACGTCTGCTACTGTACCTCATTGTTGAGAGAGTCAGTCTTCTCCATCAGAAATTTGTGATTATCCGGAGACCGCTTATGTTCCAGTGACTGCCTGGACAACGCCAGCTGATCTGCAAAGTGTTTCTGTTTACTGAGACGTTTCTCAAAGTGCCTCAATTCCTCCTGTGAAAACAAATACAGAAGTATAAGAGCCGAGGATCGAATAAAGAATGACAACGCCTTTTCAGTAGAGAATTATCAAACCTGCTTTAACGACTGCCATCAAAGATAATCCCTTCCCCCTGGTGGTTTTTTCCCCATGTCTAACTGATTCAGCCCTCAGCACCTCTCACAGCAGCTGACTGTCTCCTGTGTTTTGACACAGAGCCGCTCAGAACAGTTATCTATTGCTCCTTTTCATCACATCACTTTCCTCTCTTCTTTTTTTCCTTACCACTTGCATAAGAATTTCAACCCTTTTTTTTCTGGTATCATTGAATAGTATTTCTTATTCTAAAATTAATTTGTATATGCCACTCAAAGGGTTTTATCAAATTTAGATAATTTTTTATTAACTTTTTGTGAGACCACCCGTGAGGTCATGAAGCCGTCACAAATTATTTGTGTCCGGAGTCAAAATTATCTGCGGGCTCAATCAGTTGATGGCTCTGTGCCTGTCCAAGACGACCACCAATTGTTGGGGAGAAAAGTGGTCATCTTAGACAGGAGGTTTGGAGAGGGGTTATTGTTGTCATCTATAATAATATTTTTGCCATATGTTGATGGGTTTTTTATTTTTATTTTTAGTAGAGGTTTTACGACTCGCAACTGCATAAGGTCATATGATCACCAGAAGATTAGAGGTGTTACAAGAGAGTAACAAACATAAAAATGATAGATGTTTGATAGGAAAGAAGAAGCAAACCACACCAGAGCACCCGCCGACCACCCATGTTAATGGGTCTGTTCAGTGTAATGGTGAAATAGTGGAGGCTAAAGGTTACAGCACAGTAACCCTACAATAACCTCTAACGACTGAATTTAATTCCAGCACATATTTAAACAAAAACCTTTCCCTTTGTGAATTAATTTTGAGGACATAACGTTTTTCAATTCTGATTCTCAAAATAATGCAAAATTTACAAGACAAACCAAGCTGTAATGAAAGCAAAGTCTAAATTTGTGACGAAATGGGAAAAACAATAATGAAAAAGTTTTGAAAGGATCAAATTGAATAATAATGCAGGACTAGCAAATGGAGTTCAACAGGATCAGAGGAAAGACACAAAAGAAGTAGAAAACCCTGCTCAGTAGCAACTTTTCAAACTGAAAACACTGACAAGTGAGAAGATAATTCCCTTCAAATCTTACTTTGAAACTTTTCAGCTTCTCCTGTGACCACTTGGACTTCTGTACCATGCTCCACAGGCTGTTCACCCTCGGGTCTTCGAACTCGCCATCAGTCGGGGTGAGGTTTGTCGCTAAATGTTCCAGCCTCCTGAACCCATCCTGGAGCTCCAGCTTGCCTCTCCGACGGTCACTGTCTTGGTCTTTGTCATTGGCTTCCACGTCATCATCATTGAAAATGGTATTTTCATCTGGGTCTTGAAAATAAGAAACAATTCTGTTTTCAGTGCCTCATTCTTCTTTTTCTTTAGAGTAAAGAGAACTACAACAGCACAAAAACACTTCTTTCGGTGCAGGGAGAAAGCAAAAGAGACAAACAGAAAGAAAAAAACAGAGGAACAGTTAAGAAGTAGAGCTTACCAGCAATGTCCCCCAACCACGTACATGTCCTATTTGACAGAGTTTAAGAATAGAACTAAATCAGTTACTGAGAAAAAGCAGTTTTGACATGAAAGCCTCACCACTGATCCATTTAATTAAAAAAAAACAACAAGGGAGAGAATAGAATAATGCCAGGAGACATCACAAACATTAACACATTCAATGCTGCGCACATGGATTCCCTGTGTTTGTGATTCATCCCTTGCTACTCAGGTGGGGATTCTCCGTTCGAAGTGATACCTCTATAAGGCAATCATTACATTATATCAGCGGTTTCATTGCAGAAATATCGGGGGGGGGGTTATGTGCACTCTTGTACTCTATCATATGCTGCAACACTAAAGTCAAACTGTTTCAGTGTTCTTCGCGTCTGGCAAATTTATTTGGAACTAAAAGGTTTTGTTTGGTTTTAGTAAGTGTTTTATGGCACTTGCAACACAATAAGTTCATATAATGCCGAAGATTAGAGGTGTTACAAGAGAGTAACAAACACAAAAAAAGAAGGAGGGGAGATAAAGAAGATAGAAGTTTGAAAAGAGTAAACCACACCAGAGCACCCGTCAACCACCCACAAAAAAATGTTTAAGTCATAAACACATTTGCAGTTGTGAAATGTTTTAATATGTAAGCAATCCCTATCAAGTAAAGAGTATAAGTATAAGAAAATGAAAAGGATTAATGAGACAACTTAACATCTGTAGTGTCTATGGACAGACAAAGTGTAGTTTGAGAGGCAAGTATGGCACGCTTAACTGACTGCAAAACAGTTCTGTTATTTCAGTGATATAATCTTTGGAACAATTGACAACAAAAGGGTATGTAAATAGAGAGTAGAGGCGTGAATAATTTTTGTTTTGTTTGGTCTCTTGCTGGTTTCTCTGTTGATAATCATGAGTACAGTGTGTCAGGATAAAAGTGCCAAACAAACTATTTTCTAGGATGTACTTATTGAACCTTGAGCTGAGCTTTAGTAACAGACCTATTGATTCTACCTATGTCATGCTAGAAATGTGTAACAAAATAAAGAAGGGGTAACAGTAAAGAAAGAAGGAGAAAACAGCACCCATTTGGTAAAATGTCTGAAGAGTAAAAAAATTAATCTGAAGAAGGACTGCGAAGTCAATAGGTATATCAAGTGAAATATATCCCCGTAGACATTGATCATATTTGTACTGAAACTGAAAATGAAACACTATTTTACTAACAAAGCAAAAAATCTGGGAGTGTATTTTGAATCAAAATTGTCAATGGAACATCATATCAATTATTTATGTACCATTTTATTTTGTGAATTGCGTAGAATTGGTCATATGTCTATATTTTTGAACGAACACTCGTTGAAAACGCTTGTGTCATCTTTCTTGTTTTCACGCATCGATTATTGCAATGCTTTACTAGCTAACTTACCAAATACCTCTTTTCACAAGTTACAACGTTTTCAAAATCATGCTGCTAGGCTTGTACTAAAGAAAAAGAAGAGGGACCACATTACTCCCATGTTAAGAACGTTGCATTGGCTTCCCGTGTCAGCTAGAATGTCATATAAAATTGCAATATTATGTCATAAATGTGTCAATAACAAAGCTCCCTCATATCTTAGTGATCTCATCCAGATTTATGTTCCATCTAGATCACTAAGATCAGGCGACCAGTATCTTTTACGAGTTCCTAGAAAAGGCGGTAAAAAATTAGCCGAAAGATCGTTCGCCCACCTTGCTCCGTCAGTTTGGAACTCTCTTCCCCAACCCTTGAGACATACAACATCTGAGTCTAAATTTTAAAAATCTTTAAAGACACATTTAATGACATCCTTTTTAAGTCAGTAGATTCATGTTCAGTACAATGTTATGTAAATGTCTATGTATCCATTTATGTATTTTGTGAATTGCAGTGTATATATTATTTTATTCTCATTTCGTGACGATGTGTAATCGTGTGCGTGTGATAAGCAAGTAGATGTGTGTGTGTGTGTGTGTGTGTGTGTGTGTGTGTACGTGTGTGTGTGTGTGTGTGTGTGTGTGTGTGTGTGTGTGTGTGTGTGAGTGTGTGTTTGTGTGTGTTTGGCATACATGTGTGCGTGTTATGTGTTCGTGAGTGTGTATGCGTGTGCTTGTGTGTGTGTATATGTATATGTGTGTGTGTTTGTGTGTATATGAGTGTGTGTGTGTGTGTGTCGCGTGCATGAATATTTTTCTTACATGCATTTATGTAAAGCGCCTAGAGCTGTGTTTACACAGGAGTGGGCGCTATAGAAATGATCTTCATTATTATTATTATTATCAACAAGTAGGAAGATTAAAACCATTCACTGGACAAAAGACTTCCTTTCCATCAGAAAAGCAACTTAACTAGCAAACAAACACCCCAAAAAAATTTAAAATTGCAATGAATAGATAATTTCACAACTTCAGTCGGTAGCTCACCACAATAAGAAATAGCCATTTCATTACATATGTTTGTTTTAGGAGAGGTTTTATGGCGCTCGCAACAGCATAAGGTCATATGAGCGCCAGAAGATTAGAGGTGTTACAAGAGAGTAACAAACATAAAAAAGAAGGAGCGGAGATAAGGACAATAGATGTTTGATAGCAAAGAAGAAGCAAACCACACCAGAACACCCGCAAACCGCCACATTCATTACATAGAACAAGAACTCACCATGCAGGTCATTGAGTTCACCGTGGACAAAGTTGAACTCCTTTATCTTCATCTGTTGGTGAGAAAACTCTTCCTGGAGTAGGTTCAAATCTTCCTCTGGTGACAGGGACACAAAGTAAGAAGGAGATCATATCAGTTTTCAAGTGCACACAAACTTAAAAGTTTTAAGAGAAAATTTAAGAAACAAAAACACCCCAACAATTGCATAATATTGTCTAAGTCATGAAAGAAAGGAACAATAACTAGATAAAAGGCGAATTTAGAGTACCCTTATATTTGTCTTGTTGGTAGCATTAGTCCACACGAATGCCACAAGAAACACACTCCAGCTGGTTAATAGTCCCCAAAATTTTGTTCTTATTGCTGACTGACCAAGTCAAAAACATAGAAGACACATTGAATGCAGCTGGTAATCAACATTTAATACAGTGATGACTTTTATTTCAGTATCTCGTTTAGTCGCGGATATAGCACAGCAGTAATTGCTTTTTAGTGGAACGGAAAATAAAATAATTCAGCTTAATAGCTACATTTGAAAGCCTTTCGGTTTGCAGAATTTTATGACTGATACTGAAAAAAAAAAGTAAGTGTTCTATGTCCCCATTCACAATTATAGAACACTATTAAGGAGGTGGGCCTTAACACTGCCCGTGAAAGCCAACCCAGGCTGAGAGGGATACAATGTCCCAGCAGAAAGACGGAGATACTTGATCAAAATTCTGCCAATATGGGAACCAAACTTGGGTCTTCTGCATGTAATGGTGAAGCGCCCAACGGCTACACCATAGATGTTGTTGAGTCACACTGAAGTGCAGCATGTTTGGTGGTATAGATTAATAAATTTGCATACCTGAAAAGCCAGAGTGTTGAGCCTCTTTCCACATCTCTTGCAATTTATTGTCCTCAAAAGTTATAGCTTCCTTCTCAGCCTCTTTCTGCTCTTGAGCTGCTTTTCTCTCAACTTCTGATTCACTTGGGGCATCGTCAAGGGAGTACTTCTCCACAATACCTGCAGAAACACAAAACAAAAAGTAGAGATGTCCAGATGTCCAAGCAGTAAGAAAAATGTGTAAAATCAGCTATTTGTAGACGAGACTGTCAGAGTTGTTATGGTATGTTCACACCATACCTCTGCACTCTGTATATAGAGAGAAGACATCAAGAGGAGGTAATGATAATTAAAACACATAGTCAGAACCATTGAAATTATGATTAAAACAGGCACTCTTATATTATGGCGATGTGTGGTCTTAGGGTGGAAATGACGGTTTAAAAACATTATCAGTACCACTGAAATGATTAAGCAGATCATGAAGATAAATTACCACCCATAAGAGAATTGTTATTGATGGCTGTCTACATTGTATGTAAGGAAAGCATAATCCATTCCCAGTGTAGTTTCTTTACTTCAAAAGGGAAATCTCCAAAAGATAGAGACATACAACCTACACGTAATATAAGGTTGTTTTTTTACTTTCCCTCATTATATTATGAGAAACCCTTTTCAATTGAAAAAAGACAATTTTACTAGATCTAGATCCAACTCACGCCTGTAGTTGTGGAGGAGTTTTGCTTCCATCAACCCATCTTCATCTAAGTTTTCAGATTTCAGCTTTTTCACACGTTTTTCCAACCTTTCATGAGCTTGCAGTTGTTTGAAGAGATCAACCCGATTTTCCTCTGTGAGATCTTTCCGCTGCAGATAGAGTAGGTGGTGTGGATAAGTGTTAGTTCATATGATAGGCTACAGATCACTGGTGGACATACCATGATCACACACACACACACACAGATAGATAGATAGATAGAAAGAGAGATAGATAGATAGAAAGAGAGATAGATAGATA